AGTCTAATTTCCCCATCTGCAAATCCAAGTTCCTATATCACATGATGAAATGGAGATTTGTTGTTTGATGGTCATTTCTATTCAGATCTTGAAAGAATTACTCTGTGGAAAAAGTCTTAAACTGAAAAAAAAAAAAAAACCAACCAAAAAACAACCAAACAAAGTTATCATTGGAAAGTAAAACCCAAACATTCTGACATTTTTATTTATATCTTGTGAACAATCTCAGAAAAATCTCTTGCAATGAAAGATATGAATAGCTCGGCCTCCTGGTGCTGAGGAGTGTGGAGATACCTGCCTTTCAGTGTGAGAAAGGGCAATGTTGGTAGTAAACTGGATGAGACATCTGTCCAGAGATGACCTGCTCAAAAACTTGCAGAGGTTTAAAAATCCTAAAGAAATCTTGCTCCTAAAGAAAGTCTCTGCTTGATCCCTTTGTGCTACTAGTATGATGGCATGGTCTTTGGCCTCCACCTGATCCCTCTGCTGATACCACCTGTCTTGATGTGGGGACCAGAACTCAGAATACATATGTGTGATTTGATTTCCCATAGCTAAGGGGAGTATCTGGAAATTAATGTTATTGCATCATTGTTAACTCTCAGCTGACGATGGCTTCTTGGGAAGGTATGCTTAGTAATTCATCCCACTTTGACATTTCACTGGCTGCACCAATGAAAGGTATCTTTCCATATTCCTAGTTAAGAAGTGCATTGCTCAGCTCATTCACAGCTGTGCTGGTGTGCAGCCTGACATCACTGCAGCTACGTAGGGGTAGAGATTTCCCATACTTGCGAGCCTCTATCTCATTAAACTAAAATAGAGAGAAATTTTCCTTTTATTGCTAATGTGCTGTAGATAGGTTACAGATTGTCCCTGGAGTGTAGAATTGAGAAATCACATATTAAACATAATTTGATTAATGTCATTGTGCACATGTACTCCTGCAGAATATTAAGTTAACTTGTACTGATGTTGCCATACACGGTGTACAAAGTTTAGTTCTGAGTAGTTCCAAAATTAATCATGTTTCAGGAATGTTACAAATCAATAAATGTCTGGTTTATAAGCCTGCTTCTTCTTTTGATGGATAGCAAAAGGTCTTTGAAGTGTCAGCACCAAACTGGCATGCAGTGAACACAGTCTCTTCTAATCTAGTTAGATAAGCCCACCATGCAGTGGGATGCTTCAGACTCCAAGGAGCTTACTTGTACTTTGGATCTGCATGTCAGTGAGAAGAGCGCTGCCCATCTTGGCGCCATGTTCTCTGGCCTCATCTCTGCTCCACTCTGCCAGCCCTCCTGTCCTTGTTCCTGCTTCTCTGTCTGGGCATCCCAGAGAGGCCATTCCAAAGACTTTGGGTAAGACAAGGCTGTCTTATGCTGCAGTATGTATGCAGTATTCCGCTGTCGGGCCTCCATTCTGGTGGTCCCCACCACCTTGTCTTTCAACAGAGACAGAAACACATCGTTGCTTTGTGGAAACCTTGTTGCGTTTAATTGGCACGATTATTTTTTTTCTGGATGCTGAACACTTTGGGTGGTGGGGTTTCTTCAGTTTTCACAGCTGCCCTCAGTGCATCTCACAGTGTTATCCAGTTTGCAGTAGAGCTTTGTGATCCAGTGGAAGGCTATCGTTTTGAGAGGGATAGAGCTATCCTACATATTGAGACTAACTGTGTAACCCAGATGATTTACCTTCAATGTCTGAGGACACCACAAGACATCCCTGGCTGCCCCGGTTTATCTGAGCACGTGCTCTCTGTAGTAATTTACTCAATGTTAATGCGTGCCTGGCTCCAGAGGCTCTCCTTCATGAAACTTAACTTTCATACAAGTCCAAACGTAGCTCATCCTGTACGAGCATACCCAGGCACAGTGGCTAACAAGGCATCAACCACGAGACAACTGTGAGGGGCTATTCCTGTCCAGAGCAGATGGGGAACACTACTGCATAGAAAGGCTGAGTGGTTTTGGAGACACTCTAAGCAACAAGCAGTATATTCTGTCTTGGTTTTCCATTAGCATATCCTCTAACAATATTTAATTTTCAGAGCATCAGTTTACCATTAACTGATTTTTTTCCTTAGTTCCTTGCCAGAACTGACTGTGCAATTAAGAAATTACACGGGACATGGTCTGAAGGCCCAAAATGAGTTGTCAAAGACCCCCTTAATTTTGCCCTACTCTAACAAGGGAAAAGTCAGACATGGTAAACTGGTTTTCCTTTACCACAGGGCTTGTTGTGTTTTCTTTTCTGGGGGAACAGGCACAGGCTGGGTTTGGATGCAATGGAAAAAGACGGTCTCGGGCTAAGAGTGTGCAAAGCTGCCCACGCTGATAAGCTGTTCAGCTGGCAGCTGGGCTCTCCCTAGAGGTGATGCTTCACTGCTTTTAGGTGAGTTGATGGAACTACTGAATCTGAACACTGAGACTGCATCAGATTGTCCCAGTGGTGCAACTGAGAATAATCCCAGCCACTGTGGGCATTTCATCACAAAATGAGTCCTGGTGGAATTACCTTTGGTCATGACAGTGTCTGCTGGTTCTGGGCCAGGGGAAACTCTTTCAGGGAAGTTTGCAGGACTGAGGAGTTTCTCAGAAAACTGAAGGCTGGCACAATTCCTGCCAGACCTTATTTGCATATGCTTGGATGATCTGTCACGTTAAAGATCTTCCTTCCCTGTGCCTCCTTTGGCAATTTGCTTTGAAATCTGCTTTAAGGTATGAACAAACAAAACTCATTGTGAAGTAAAGCTGAGTTGGAGCTGTACCTTATCAGCTGCTCCACAGGAAATGCCGGTGGCATGGAGAAGTCTGTGGTAGAGTCCTCTTCAGAGCACCTTCTGGTTGAACCGAGAGGATGTGCTGCTCGGGCCAGGCTAGTTCTGCTTCTGCACACGCCTGCAGCTCTTGGCAGCTGGAGAGCTTAAACCAGCAGACGTTTGGACGGCACTTGAGTGCAGCACCAATTTGGGTACAGATCACGATTTGGACACAGACACCCAGGTTCTGTCCACAGCCTGCTGGAGGTGCATGTTTTCTTGGATTATACCCCTAAGTGTTCTTTCTAATCAAGCATTCATATATATATATATATAATCTCATTATATAGGTATTTAAAAGCCTGATGTAAGCAAATGAGGTTTCTGTAGAAGGAGAACCTGTCCAATACTGACACCTGCTGAGCCCCACACAGTAGTTGCTGGTGTGTCACAGCAGTGCTGTGTCACAACAGGCTCGGGCAGCTTAACACTAGCCAGGGATCACCACAGAACTGAAGTCAGTGCTCCCTCTGAAAATCAACACAGGCAACCAAGTACAACGGTGGTTTGAGGAGTGATTGCTAGAGAGAAAGGAGCCAGGTCCCCCTTTCCTCTGGGGGACCAGTGTCTACTGTGGTTTTGCTTCAACATTTGATGAAGTCCCTCTGGCCCAGGCAGAGCTGACTGCTCATTCCACTGTCTCACACAAGCAACAGTCACTTCACAGCAAAGCACATGCAAAATACAGAAAATAAGACACTTAACCTTCACTCATATAATTTTGAGAGCAGCAAGGCAGTGGAAAGTCAGCTCTGTTCCCCCCACCTGTTTTTTTTCATAGCAGTTAGATGGAACTTTTAGTCCAAACAAGTCAAAGAATGAAGAAATAGATTTTGCTGGGGCTGGGGCTGTGGTCTGGTGAGACTGAACTCACAATGGGTTCAAGTGCTGACATCATGTCACCATTGCCCCTGAGAAAGACAGGTGAGAAAAAGATAGATTAAATTCTTCTGCCCAGATAATAAAAGAATCAGCAAGACCTGGAGATCTTCAGAAGACAGAATGGTTCAAACCTGCCCTCAGATGTGCCCCATCTTTGCTAAGGCTGCAGTAGGTTTCTTTTTAAAGGAGCAGTTAACAGTCACCTTTGGAAGCGGTCAGGTCAGTTAAGACTAACAAAACAAACAAAAAACACAATGAAAAAAGACAACCCAAACCCAAGAAGTCTCAGACCATGATTTTATTTTATATCAGCGACACACATTTGCCTCTTGTCAGCCAGACGTGAAAAAAAAAAACAAAACCAAAAACAACCCAACCCAAAACTGAAAAAAAAACCCAAAGCTAAACCAACTGATGAGATCCCTCAGCTGTGAGGTAGGAGAGGCTGCTAGCTGAGCATGTGACGCCCTGGACTAGAGCTGTAGGGGGGCTGTACCTATAGAGTTACAAAATATTTTGGTACATTCTTGTTTCTGCTGTGACACATACAGCCCTCCTGAAAGGCCAGATCAGCGTTACAAAGAGAAACACTCTCCTCCAGATGGTTGGTTCTCTTAGCTGCATTTCTGGCCCCGCTGTGCCCTGCCTCCCCTGGGCAGTTCTATCCCCTTGGTACAGCTACCGCAGCCTCAAAAAGAGCCGGCTCGTTTCAGACACTGCCCCTGGGAGAGCACACAGCTGCCCTGGGCTGGCAGTGAGACGGCAGAGCTCTGGACACTTCCCCATCCACAGGGCTGGGAACTGTTCAGAGCTGACACGTTTAATAACTGGTGTAAGACCAGCAGACAAGACTGCAAGGTACCACTGTTCTTGCGAGAGGAGACAATTCAAAAGCTGCTGCAGCACACGGTTCCTATGTGGTTTCTTACGTCTGAGGTCTTTTGTTTAACTTTCATGAAAAATATTTGATATCAAAATGTATTTTATTCTTAACAGGGTAGTTAGGATGCTATGGGTATCCCCAATTAACATTTCCATTTTCCCTTGCAGTCCCAGAAAGTCATTTCATCTTATTCTATCTGCCAGTGGTCAGAGGCCAGGAAATTCTACTTTTTGTGAAAAAATTGATTTTTTACAAAAAAGATACATTTCCGACTGAAGAAAAATCTCTCCTAAAGCGAGCAAGAGGTCCAATGTGAAATACATTTCAAATCTGGTTCAGCACAAGAACTCTGTGGTTAACTGAATTTGGAAAACTAGAATATTCTTCTTTCTTAGGGCGTGTAGAGCAGTGTTAGAACTCCTCCTCGGCGTGCCGGGAGCGAGCGCCCCGCAGCTCCAGCAGCCTCCGCACGGTGTCGGCCACGGCGTGCTCCCCGTGCACCTTGTTGTCCCGCGTGCGGATGTTCACTGTTCCACTCGCCTTCTCCTTTTCCCCTACAACTACAGACAGCCAAGAGGCAAAGGAGTGAGCACAATGTTTAGCAAGCTCTTTTTCCTCCCCATTCCCTTAAGACGTAGGCATACTAAAAAATTCTAAAAAGCTCACCAGCCAACGCATCAAGCCTTCTTTACCCTCCTGCATCTCCCCCTGCTTAGCAGCCGATATCCTTGTCTAATCTCCTACCATTTAATACATTTTAGTATGTCACAAAGAGCAATTTGGCAAAATATGAGTAAAAGGAAAAGTAAATTTAGTAAGTGCAGATTGACCGACTAATTTATTAGAGAGAACCGCAGTCAAAACGAGAAATAAACATGGAGTGTTCCACAGGCAAAGACCAGAAAGACAACCTGATTGTAAATAACCAAGAGCTATTTGTTTTCTTTATGGAGGCAGCAAGAAAGTGTATTGGAAAATCCCCAAATTATTTTACTCTAAAATTATGATACAGATCTCAAGATAACATATGTACGTTTCACTACCAATATCAATTTCATATAATATACCTGGTAGCTGCTACAGGAGACTGTGTTTCTTTGGTACTCAATCTACATTCAGTGGGACAACTCTTTGAATCCACCTCTGAGCACAAATCAGGTGAGATTTTTTTTTGCCTGACAGGCTTATCATTTGTGGCCTTGAAGGTAATATGCTGTTTTGTCTTACCTGTATCACATGCTTAAAGTTTTAAGGAACAAAAGAACTTTATTCATGATTCTATCAATTACTCTGAGGGTGGAGTTGCTCTGTCAGTTGACAGGCTCCTTCCCCTCCAAAGGATCTCAAATAGTTTTGGGGTCAATGCTACAGCCTCAGTTTACATGACATGACTAATATGGTGCTTCAAATCACATACTTCAGGATTGGTTTCTAATTGTCCCTGCATCCCCCTCTAATGGAAGAGTCTTCTATGAACTGGTGTATAGCCCTGAAGTGCACCACATCTCAACACAGTGAAAGTATGGTGGTACTTCTGCTACAGATTAAAAAAAGAGCCTATATAACTGGGGAGGGGGAATGGAAAAATCTCTTTAACAATCTGACCAACGAAGGGCAAGAGGTTTTCTCTATGCCTCCACTCACTGACCACCAACAGTACTGCCTTGGGCCACAATGGCCTCGTGTCAGTCCAGCTGTGCGAGCCAGGA